CCAGCTGGGCCAACTCAGCTCTGCAGAAGCATCCCAGGAACAGAGATATAAAACAAGGAAAGAAATGAGTTTCTTTGGTGAAGTTGCTTCTGGGCCTCAGACACTGCTCTTTTTGGTAAATTTTAACTATCCTAAAGAAACAGGATGCTACTTGTTTCTTGGTGGTGAGAAGGCGCAACCGAATGCCTCCTCTGCACCAGGCATTCTAGAGGGCACCTTATTTCATCTCCCCAGCAATCCTATAGGAAGCGATGCTTATGTACATGGTACAGATAAGGAAACGGAGTCCGCAGGGCTTCGAAACTTGTATTAAGTCATGCGGCATGTTAACTGCGAAGCCAGGGCTACAATCCAGGTCTGTCCTAACTCCAGGTTCAAGTCCATGAATGTGAGGCTGGCATCCTACTGCGTGGCAGGCACCGAGTTTTGGCTCCGCAGCTGAGTGGATCAGCTGTGGACATTTTTTTTTTTTGGTAGGTCTTTATTTTTCTTAGAGCCGTTCTTCATTTTAAGCACATCGTGTGTTGACTTTTGGAGTCTGAGCCACTGATCTGGGCATATTTGGAAAAGCTGTAGAACAGCGGATGTACAAAGACCGCATGAGATGAAGTCCTATCTGCTGGGCCAGTCAAGCCTCTTGTGTTTGCTTTCATTTTCCTTTGGCTCGGGAAGGGATGGTTTGGTTCTGCAAACGAAGGCTGAGGACATCTGCCAGCTTGCTAACTGCCTTGCCCCTGTCAGATGTGTCAGACTCACAGAACATTGCTCCCCAGCTGCAGGTCCGGGGTTCCTGCGAGTGCCTGAACAGAAAACCACTCGTTTCCCTTCGCAAGAGAGGTGCCCAAAGCAGAGATTTCAATATATTCCAATTTAGCCAAGGGAAGCCAGAACATGGATGCTGTTGCCAAGGAAACCACCTCCTTCCTCCCCGTGTGCTGCACATACGTGGATCACTTCATCTCTCCGCTCTCCAAGGTAATATCATAGCCCTGTGCTTGGGGAAGGGTTTTTAAAAAGGCATATAAAACCTCTTAGCATCGAGAAGATTCATTAAATGATCTCACTCCAGAGAAGCTTAAATTATTCTTTTTAGACCCTTTTATGCCGAGGATGGGGAAATGGCTGAGTCAGTGCTATCTCTTGTAGCCTAGCTTGGTGTCTTGGTGGAAACAGTTTTTCAGGAATAAACAAATCAGGGTTTGGAAGCGTAGACAGGGAGAGGGTGTGTGTAATAATAAGGAGGCCATCGTGTCACGGTCATGTCACCGGCTAATCCCCCCGAGTAGATCTGCCGAGACCACCTTGATCCACGGGCCTCCTGGATGCGAGGCCACGTTTCACAGGGCAGCCTTCAAAGCGCAGACAAGAGAGGGTCTCTGTTGCAAGGCCACCTGTCAGAGGCCCCTTGTCGGGAAACTGCTTGGGGATTTCTGCTGCCCAGTCTGGTCCTGGGCCCACATCTGGGGCCATTTTGGTCCTCATTCCAGTGTCCGGTCTCAGTCGGCCTCCCGCTCCCCCTGGCCACTGCCATCCCCTCCTCTCCCCAACCTGCCCTGATTCTGTGACTTCAAGTCAGCAGGGATCACCGCCCCCTGTGGCTCACAACAGAGAAGGCAATGGGGTCTCTGTTCTTGCAAATCCTCTGAGAGCTCTGCCCCTGGAGGCTGAGAAACACCCACTTCTTCTCTTTGCCCATTCATTCCCTAAATGTTTACTGCGCACCTCCTATGCACCATTCTCTAAGCCAAAACCTGGGGTCATAAGCCGAGCAGGACAGACACACGTCTGCCCACTTGAAGCCAACTGGGTGACATTAAACAATTAATGACACAACTGAGTTACTTAAGTACAGCCAGTATCCTGATTTAGCCCGGATCTCCCACCCCAGGTCTGAGGCTAGACTCGCAGCTCAGCCCAACCCGTTTTGGCTTCCATGGGTATGGACATCCATTGTGTTCCCCCCATGGCCACACGCAGGGCAGGTGGCCATCAGCCCCACAGCTTCCTTCCTGGACAGGCCACGGCTTTCCTGGTGTACCTGCATTGTGGCTGGTCATGATGGGAGCACAGTTAGAGGCCAATAACAACCCCACGATGTCACAAAAGTTCTAGGGCTCTGTCGTCTTCTGAAGCCCCAGTCCCTGCCCGAATGGCATCTGGGATGGCAAACAAAGGCCTTTTCCGACTCCACCCTCTGCTCTGTTTCCAGGTGGGACTGACCGAGCTGCATTGCCCAGCCTCCCTCGATCCCAGCCCCCTCCTCTGACAGCTTATTCAATACCAGGCAGTCCTCCAGGCTTAGGGACACCGACTTTAGAACCAGACACCTGGGCTTTGAATCCGCCCCCCCCCCAACCCCGCTGTGACTTTAGACAAGTGCCTTACCCTCTCTGTGCACCTGGATTTTTTTTTTTTTTTTTTTTTTTTTTGCAAAACAGAGATAATGGTGATATCTGTCTCCTCTGGTTATCATGAGGATTAAATGAGCTCATAGACGTGGAGTTCTTGATTCACAGTAAGCGCTATTTACATTTTGTTACTCATATTGTCAGTAACTAGTTTCCCCTCAGGTTGGCCTGGCAATGCAGAAACTTCCGGCTCTGTCCCTTGTGGCCACGTGCTTGTCTCCACAGGGCTCAGCCAGGCCTGAAGTGCCACAGATCTTTCCGTGGTGCCCTTTGGGAGGGCCGGCTGCTGAGGCTAATGGGTGCTCTGCTTGGGCCTTTTTTTAAAAAAAAAAAAAAAGATTTCACCTATTTATTCATGAGAGAGAGTGAGAGAGAGAGAGAGAGAGAGAGAAAGAGAGAGAGGCAGAGACACAGGCAGAGGCTCCATGCAGGGAGCCCGATGTGGGACTCGATCCTGGGGTCCTGAGGTCACGACCTAGGCCGAAGGCAGCGCTAAACTGCTGAGCCACCCAGGGATCCCCACTGCTTGGGCATTTGGAGGGCTTCTGTGTGTAGGAGGAAGATGACAGTGACGGTGGAAGCAGAGGGTTGTCATGGAAATGCACCTGTTCAGGTTATGGCACCCTGGGCTGGCCCGGGGTCTCCGCCTCACCGTTGGTTCGGGGGGATGACGGACAGAGACAGCTGTCCTTTGTCCCTGCTCTTGTGCTACAGCTGCCTCTCTGTCCCGTGTGAAGCGCAGCCTGGGCTTCTCCTGTATCCCAGGGCCCTGTGAACATCTCATGCGGTGATAGGGTCCGAATAGCATTGGTAGCGACTATTGCCTGGATGGCTTCCTGTGTGTCTGACGGGGTCAAGGGGGACTGATGGGTCTCGGACACCCCCTTTGAGACCGGGCTAGGAGGCTTTTGTGTGTCATCTCATTCAACCCTCCAGTAATGCTCAGGAGGATGGAGCATCCTGATCTTAGCAGTGAGGAAGCTGCGGTGTAGCCATGGGTCCCCTGCTCTGAGCCTCTCCTAGGAGGTGGCAGTCCTAGAGTTGGTGGCCATGGGTCTGTCTGCCTTTGCAGCTCACAGAGGCTGTGTCCCTGTATATGTAGGTACTCCTGGCCCTTGGGGAGACTCCATAGCGTCTAGGAATCAGCAACACGGGCTCCCCACCTGGATAACCAGAGTCAGCAGAGGCTCTTTGCCAGCTCAGTGGCAACTTCACTGCCGTTGTTGGGGGAGTAGGGGGGTGAGGGGGTTGGGGAGGGGTGGGGGTTGCCTGCTGGGGCCTGCCAGATGCCCTGGGGCCAGAGGGTCCTGCTGTCCCTGTGCCCAGGAGGCACCTCCTGGGGGGGTGGGCAATGACTTGTGTCAGGGTTCTCAGACCCGCACTGGCAGTTCTTTCTGCTCTTGTCTTTTCCTCCCTTGCCCACCTGCTAAGCTTGCTTTCACACACAAAGCCTCCTCCTGCACCCCTGTTTCCCTCCTCAGTCCCTTGCCCTGCTTTTGTACTTTATGGTGCGGGACTCTGATGAGGAAACTCATTAGAGTTATTATTCCGTGCACAGAAATATGTCTTTCATCCCATTCATATTTCATGTTCCTCCCACTTGATCTTTTGACGCTTTTTAATTCCTGATATTACACCACACACACACACACACACACACACACACACACACACACACACAGCTCTGGTCGGGGATCGTTCTTTTTATAGAGTTGTCATTCTTGCTCTCCGTGTGAGGAGTGCTCCCTGTTGTAGGTTTATTAACTTCTATAAAGGATCTCAGTGTGTCGGGATGGACGCTGCCTGGTGCTGATGCAGGGGAGGTGACACCGATGGGAGGTGTGAGGACCGCGGGCAGAGGGCTGCACCGCCCCTCTTGCCCCGGTCACGGTCCTCCCTGGAGGCCCAGCGCCCGTCTGTGGAAGGGGCAGATCGTACCCAAGGCCTCGTCCAACTCCCGCGTTTGGGGCTTAATTGGGGCTCTTGGGGCACAATAATCAGGTGGTTTAAACTCAAGATAAAAGGAATATTTGGGGAGGAGTCAGGGCCGCCCCCGGCGTCACAGAAACCAGCTCTGAGCGGGGCCGAGCAGGGCAGGGCCCCTGCGCCCCCGGACCAGCGAGCCGGGACCCCCCCTACCCCCGGACCATTGCTTTAGGCTCCACGACGTCAGTGGGGAGACCCTGGAACCCCGGGCCCAGTTCCCAGCTCCGCACGAGGTCCAGGCTGCAGGGATTGGCTCAGCGCGGGTCACGTGCCCGCGGAGGAGGCGGGGCGTCTTGATTGACGTTGGACTACGAGGGCGTTCATCCAATCAGGGCGAGGCGCTCCCCGAAGGAGGCGGGGGCTGCAGAAGGCGGGCCCTGGGTCCTGCGTTGGGGGATCCCGGGCCCCGGGGGCACCGTGCAGGCCTCGCGGGGCGGGGGGCGTCGTGGGGGAGGTGGCGCGACCGCTGGGCAAAGAGAGGAAGAAGCAGGTTTTTCTGGCTCTGAATCTTTAACCAAGAGACCGGGTTGTGGGCCTCAGAGGTTGTCCCCTGCTTGCAGGGCTGGCAAAGACCAGCCGGGAACTATTTTTGACTTTCCAGGCCATGTGGCTTCTGCCACAACTGCTCAGCTTCGCCCCGATGCCTTGAAAGTAGCGGTGGCCCATATGTAAATGAAATCAAGCTTTACTCCCGAAAACCAGCAGCAGGGCTGGATGGGGCCTTTGGGTCACAGGGTGCTGGCTCCTGTGCCAGTTGATTGCTCTCCCGACCTAGGACAGACAGAAGGTCCCCCGTAGCAGTCCACGCGCTCTGACTGGTTCTTCCACTTGCCTCTGCTTCCGAATACCCCAAGGAGCCTACGGAGAACACGGATGCTTGGGACCCAGCCCAGACTTCCAAATCAGAATGTGCAGGGATGGCCTGGGGTCTGGGCCCTAGGTGATTCCGACCTGGGACTGTTGTGACTTGGTCCAAGATGCAGTCAACGAGACAAGACCCTCCAACATGAAGTGGCCCAAGGAAGCAACAGGTGAGAGAGGGCAGGCTTGGGAGCTGCGGGGAGGGAGGCGATCCCCAGGGCTACAGGAGAGTGTGTATGCAGGGCAGGCTTCCTGGAGGAGGGCCCACGGTGCCCTGAAGGGCAGTCTGAGCTGCCACAGTACTGATGTGACGTTTTCTACCTGTCAGTCTTGGCTCCTAACTAGCCAAGAGAGGAGGTGATGAAAAGTACAGGTGAACAGCTTTCTGTTTTCATCCTTCCGAAGGGGGCCACACCCATGCCTCAGCCTCATTCCTCTCGCTTCCCTCTGAGCCTGTCCTTCCCCTTGCAAATGTGTCCTGCTCCCTTCCAGCCCCACTTTCCCACAATGCCCCTTTCTCCTGTGTCCCAAGTGACACTCACCTGTGCATCCTTCTAGTACTGACCATGTTCTGGCAAACTCAGCCCCTTCTTGCTATAATTTTTAGTAAAACCAAGAACCCTGGAGGTGGTTCTCTCCCATCTCTCCCTTTCCATGTTTTTTTCTCGAAAAGACACCCTAAAACCTTTGGGGTCTGTTCTGGTGTGGCAGCGGGGAGGGTGCACTCTGTAGGTGCTAGCAGAGCAGTTTTAGCCATAAGGATGAGACGGCGCTAATGCTCCTAGGATGCCCTGGACCTAGAGACCTCTAGTTCTCACTGCTCTGGACTTGGACCCAGATGGGGAGCTTTGCTTATCACGGTAGTAGGCATTTGTGGTCTGCCTGATATTCATCTCCTCTTTCTGGCACTAGAACATCCTTTTCTCTGGGAATCCACTCTCTCCCCACTCTGAATCCGTGTGGATTTTGTACGATGTCTCCAGAGTGGGGATATGAACCAGGCCTGGCAAATCAGTGCATCACATTCCCCCGGCACAGTAATTGGCCCAGGGATGGGTGGGTCAATGGGCAAAGTTAGTTCAATGTTGGCCCTTGTGTGGGGTAGTGAAGAGAACTCTTGTTCTGGATTTGAGGTTGCGATGCTATCAACCTGGAGCTTTTGGAGTCCCACAAGTAGGGAGAGTGTGCTTGAGCATGACTACAGCACAGAGGGGAGTACAGCAGGGGGATAGAACAGAGAAAGAACCAGAGAGCCAAAAAGAGAGCAAACACTGGTCCAGAAGGTGTGGTTCCAGTCCCGGGATCCAGCTGGACCTGAAGCCAGAAGACCTACTTGTAAGTCTTTTTTTCTGCTATAGGAGTCTCACATTCTCTTTTTGGATTAAAGGAATTCAATTTGAGCTGACATGTAGCATCTTGATTGATAGTTTCCTTGATAGTGGCAGGGTGGGTCCCTTAGCAGGAATGCCTGAGCTGCAGGCAGACTATACCCAGGCCCCTGTGAGCCCCTCCTTGTCTTAAAAGAAGAGCTCAGATTAGTGCTCACCAGACAGGTACAAAATAGTTCATCACAACAGGGTTAAGCATAGGCCTTTTGTGTTCTGGTCCATTCCTGTCCCTGCCTCTCTTGCAGTAGCGAGCATGGTCCTCAGTAAATGTGTTGATTGTCTGGCTGGTTGACGGGTAGCATGGCTCTCCTCCACTATCCAGTCACCCGAACATTCTCATGCCATCCCAGTCTCCTTAGTATCATTCCACCTACCCACTCTCCAAGCTAGAGGCTTTGCCTCCTTGCTCTCCTTAATATGGGGTGCCTATGAAGGAGAGCAAGGAGACAAAGCCCCCATTGTTACTTTTCCATCCTCACTCCCACTTGCTTGGCATAGACCTCAGCCTTTTGCAGGAGGAAGCCACATGGCCCTGGATCTGACACCTCATTTCAGTGGCCTCAGTTTCCTTGCCTGTGCGTGGGCATGAAGCAGTACCCTAAAAATATGAAGCGCCCCCAAGGATTTGAGTGTGAAGGGAAATCACTAGTCCCCTGGGCACTCAACAACAATGACCCATAAAATGGAGGAGAACAAAGGCACAAAGCCACCTTCAAGAGTGAGGAGGTCAAGATAGCTCAGAAATCACTGGCTGAATGTACATGAAGTCTGAGCACATCAGAACGCAGTCTCGTCAGCCCTTAATAGGGACAGAGGACATCGGGTGGCCCAGAGGCGCACACTGGCAGGGGCTCTGAATGACTGGCCCAGGCCTCTGTCTGTCATGAAGGAGGACATGTCACAGCCTGGTAGCCTGATGCCCCCAGCTCCCCAGCTCTAGTGCTTGGGCTTCCTGTGTTGCCAGTCACAGCAGGACTGTCTGTGATGAATATGCTGGCATTTGGGTTTTGCTCATCAAGCTTGTGAGCTGTGAGTCAGCATCCTGGAGCCTAAGTCTGGGTACTGATGACTCGGCGTTCTGGTTTGTAGGATGGGGTCAGGCCCTGGCCCTGGGCTCTTGAGGTTGGGAGGGTATTGGTGTAACTGGTGGGCCTACCCCAGAGATTCTGATTGATGAGATTGGGGTGGGGGCAGGCCCTCCTGTTAAATAACACCTCAGCAGGCACTGAGCACAAGCAAGGGGAGACCCACTGCCGGGACACAATGACTGCACCACCAGGCCGCCTGCCGGCCTCCTTTCCTGCCTCTGTTGAACCTCTACACTGGGTGCTGCTGATTGGCTTCAGGGTTCACTTGAGTAATTTGCACAGAGCCCATTTTAATTCCCCTGAGACCCCCTGCAGGCTTTGATGGCACTGAACATGAGACAGCAGACACTCTCGAGAAGGAAAAATGGCCTCTTTATTTGGAAGTTCTGAACACAAAGGAAAAAGATGTGCCAGCAATTATAATTCCTCTGAAGCTTCAACCTCTGGACTCAGAGTTGGGTCTTGTCTCATCTGGGCTTTGCTCTCCCCGGGTGAGCCTGATTCAACGTAGATGTGTAATCATGACCCTCCGTATGGCAGGGTTTGGCTGAGATGACCCCCCCCTTTGCAGTGAGTGGGCTTTTTAGGACTAGGGGGGTTATGAGCTGTCTCCTAAAGCATTTCTGAGCAACGAGGGCTGAGCACAGAAGCAGCAGCCCCCCACTCCTGTGCTCCAGAGAGGTGGGCGAGTCTTCCCCTGGTCCCTGTCCAAGGCTGCAGTCAGGAGTGGTCATCCTCATCTGGCTGCTCTGAGGAACCACTCAGAGAAGTGCTTGGCTTCTACTCATTGCTGGCTGTATTACTTTATGTGACTTAGAAGAGCAATAAGTATGGTGACTGTAGAGAGCAGGACATTTTTCTGGCCAGGCTCTGTTGACCTGGACAAAATCATCACAGCTCTCTGATACATTTTGAGCCAAAGCACATTCACCATCGGAACAGTGGACATCATTAGCATGACCTCATTTCCCTTGCTTGTTCCCTCAACAAATCTCTGCTATCACCTCCACCTCAGTCTCTCTGCACTCGACCTCGGGTCCTGCTTTGCAGAGAAAACAGAACATGTCAGATGGGAATGCCAGTCTCCTGCCACCATACTTCCAAATATAAAGACACTGTCCGCCATCCTGTCCTCTTCCCCAGGCTCTATTGGAGCAAGGCTAATGCTACCACTTGCTGCCTTCATAAGGACTTCTCCTTGCTCTATCTTCATGCCCCCCACCTTGACTAAAGAGTCCCATAAGCATTGAGTTAAGTTTCTATCTTCATCTTTAAATGGAGTTCTTTCCTTCCATTTCCTCTGCCCCTCCTCCCACTCAGTTCCTGTCTTAATCATGCTCACTTCTGTTGAAAGCTGGGCCTGTTGAGAGGATGGTCTGCACCCTCCCTCCCTCCATCCTCACCTCTCACCTACCCTATAGTCCATTTCAAGAGAGCCTCTGCTCCCATGTTCTTCCCAGAGTGCTCTGGACAAAGTCACCCATGGCCTCCATGTCACCAGATCTGAGGGACGCTACTCATCCCTTACCTTACACTTGCAGAAACATTTGACACACTCATCGTCTCCCTCCTGCAAAACCTCTTCCCTTGATTTTTGGGACACTGAATTATCCTATTTTCTTCCTCTTTCTCCTCTTCCTTCTCCATCTCCTTTGCCTCACCTCTGTGATTTCCAGACTTCAGGGCACCTAGGAATCGGTAGGGGGGGAGGGGTTGTTAAAAGGCAGATCAGATTCTCAGGCCCACACACCAGACTTTTTGATTTGTGGTTTTCCTGCAGCCCCAGGAATCTGCATTTACCAGTCTTCATGGGCATCTAATAACGCACATGGTTTTCGAGCACGTTTTGTGAAATCTTGCCATAACCATCAGCGGTCCTTGGCTTGGGCCTTTTCACTCCTCACCATTCACATTTCTTTTGAAATCTCATCTGGTTCAAGGCATCAGCTGTCACCTAGAGGCCACTCTCTCCACCCCAGTCCTTGCTTTTGAGCTTCAGAACCACATACCTGTCTACCTACAAGACAGCTCCACGAAGCTGTGCCAGAGACACTTGAAATGTTCAGAGCAGAACCTCTCATCTTCTCCCAGCTTGCCTGTCCCCATGTTCCCCTTCCCTGTCACTGGCACCATTAACCACCCACTTATCCAAATGAGAAGCTTTGACTCCCCCCCCCCCACCTTTTCTCGCTGCTGCCAATCAAAGACCCAAGCAATTTCTAAGTTCTGTATTTTCTTAACTCCTAAATGGGTCTCAAATTCTCCAGTTGCTCTTCATTCCCACTGCCACTGTGCTGTCCAGGGCTCCATGATTTTTTTTTCCAGGTGAGCCCCTACGTGGGTTCTCTGCCGCCAAGCTTGCTTTCTACCATCTGGTTTCCGCACAGTCACCCAGGAGCCTCTTCAGAGCTTCCGTCTAACCTTACCACTCCCCTACATTCAGGCCTGTTGTCCTCTTGCTTCTGCTTGAACAAAATCTTAGGCCATCACACAAAGCCCCTCGTTGCTCCTCTCCTGTCTCTAGATACTCACTCATCAGCAAGATCAAGTAGCCACTTCTCAAGCCTGGCTCAGTCCCAGAAAATTTGAAAGATCATGACAAATATTAGTAAGTTTCTGTGCTGGAGATAAAATACAAAGGGTCAGATTGTCAAACCAAGCTCCTTGGAATCAGAGGTCTTACCTAGTATTAAGCTTTACTAATCATTGCCAGGATACAAATAATTGTGAGGCACAGGTAAAGCATGAGGTCTAGAACCACCAATACTGCTCCCCAGGCCCTTTCTTGCTACATTAGGAAGTGCTCTGCCTTGGATTTGTCAAAAGAGGTCTCTATGTGATATGTGCAAGGCATCTCTTGCTAAAAAGGGAGCTATTTGGCCATGACATATCTCCATTTTATTCTCTGATAGTTACCTGGCTTGCACAACATTTCCCAGGGAGTCGTGCCCCATAAATCCACAGGGTCCAGGTTTGTTTACCATAAGTAGTCCTAGACAGATAGGGTACATCGTGCTAAAAGCATTCCATAGATAAGAACTCTTCTGCTGGCCTGAATCATCAGTGTGTTGCCAGGGTCTCTGTCACTAGCGTGATTATGCGGGGATTTGACCGGGTCATCATTCTTTCTTCCGCAGTCAAGGTGGCGGTGGCCTGCTCTGACTCCTGTTTTCCTACCCAGTCCTGCTCAGCCCACCTCCGGCCTGTTGGTGTTTCCCAGAGCTCTGTCCTTGGCCTCCGTGCTTCTTCTACACGTGTGCCCCAGAGGATCTCTTCCTCCAAGCCTGTGGCTTCTGGTCTCTAAACATAAAAGTCTCCTGTGTCCATAGCTCACACCCTTGGGTTTCAGATCCACATAGTCTGCTGCCCCCCAGATTGATATTGCCCCCTCAATGTGCTCCAGGTCCTCAAACTACGTGTCTGTCTCTGACCTCTTCTTTGCCCCTTCAGATCTGTTCCTCTGCTGGCTCGCCTCTCAGGACAATGGCACCCACACCCACCCTGTTGCCCAGAAACTGAATCATTCTGGTCCTCTTACTTGCTGGCCCATTGACTTAAGGTAAGTTTGAGGGATTAGATGCTCCGAGCCTCAGTATGTGCACGTGTAGGGTGGCGATCAGAACAATGTGTTTCCCAGATTGTTGTAGGATTAAGTGAGATGTTGCAGCTAGTGCTTGTCCCAGCGGCTAGCACACAGTAAGTGCTCAGTAATTATCAGCAAGGGTGCTTGGGCCTGGCTGCCTGCCATTCCCCGTGGTGACTCATTGCCATGTGCTACGATGTGTACAGATGTAGTCCTTCCTGCCCCTTCATCACTGTCTCTTCAGTGCCCCCCGCCCCTGCCTCCTTGGGAACTGGCCTCCTGGATGGCCCCTTCGTCTCCCATCTACAGACAACTCTCCTCCTCAGTCACACATCTGATTAGGTCACTGCCTTGGAAGGCTCTGTGCTGCTCTTGGGATAAATTCAGGCTCTTTAAAATCACTTAGGAGGCTTGACGAGCTCTGGCCACTTCCTGCCTCCTGCGGCTCCCTAGCCCAAACGCTAACCAGTTGGCACACTGAACTTTAAGTTCCACCTGTCAGGATCTGGTCCATGCCCTCCTCATGGTCTGGAAGACACTCTGCCTTTCCTCACCTCCACCTGAGGAACCCTTGGGCCCTCTGCTGTGCTCCTGCAGTGCTCTGCATGCCCCCCATCACAGCGCTCTCCAGCCGTGAGGTCACTGGTGGGTTCTACATTGGGCCCCCTCGCGGGGCTGTGAGCCCAGGGGTTGGTGCCATGGCTGGTTCATGCTCTTATCTCCAGTGTCTAGAACAGTGCCAAGTAGAGTAGGTTCCGATAGCAAATGAATGCAGTTGTTACATGGGGGGTTGTGGGAAGGGGCTGGTGAGGAGGGAGGGAGGAGCCCCTGAGGCTGGGGCTTCTGGCTTGAAAGGAGTAGTTGAGACAGGCCACTGTAAGGGAACTCCGCTTGTACTGGAGTTGTACTAATGAGCTCTTTGGATCAGGAGGGCCTGGTAAATGTGGCAGCTGACCCTGGAGATCAGGTCCCCCACCTCCTGCTATTATTTATTTGAGAGAGAGAGAGAGAGAGAGAGAGAGAACACCTGAGTAGGGGAGAGGCAGAGGCAGAGGGAGAAGCAGGCTCCCCACTAAGCAGGGAACCCGACTTGGGGCTCGATTCCAGGACCCCAGGATCATGACCTGAGCCAAAGGCAGACACCTAACCGACTGAGCCGCCCAGGAGCCCCTGGAGGCGAGGTCCCATGATCCAAGACTTGGCAATTAGCCCAGGAAAGCAAGCCCTCAGGGCCTGCCGCCTCTACTGCCCTCCGAGTGAGCCTCTGCAGGGCTGGGGCCCAGTGCGTCATCTGCCCCTGGCAGCGGTGGAGGAGTTGGTGGGTTCTCACCAGGTTTCTTTCCTTCAAGGTTGTGTTGTGCCCTTCACAAGAGGCCTCCTCTAGATCTGCTAGTCCTGCAGCAAACTAGCGCTGAACCCCACAAAGCCGGTCCATTTTGTTCCTGTTCCATGCCTCTGGGGAAGGACAGTTGGGGCTGGGGATGGGGTGGGTCTTATTCCCAGTTGTTTCTGCCACCACTCAGAAATCTCAGTGAGGGGGCTTGGGTGCTCACTCGGGAACAGTGGGAATGAAAATCACCTCTCCCCCCAAAAAAAAGAAAAAAGAAAAAGAAAATCACCTCTCCCTGTCCCGAATTTGACCTTGGCTACTGTCCCCTAATGATGACTTCTGACCGTGACTACAGTTCATTTGTCTCCGTATGGAAGAGTCCTGGGGAAGGAGGGTGCAGGAGAAGGTAGGGTCAGGCCTCATGCCCAGGCTGAGGCACCTTGCTCCCTTGAGCTGCACGTGGTGTGAGGACGCCCCCTCCATCTTTGGAAGGGCTCCCTGTCACCCTTCCATCCCGTGTTGTGCAAATTCCATTATCTCCTCCATCTCCTGACTCTGTAGGTGGCTTTCATCTCTGCCCATTTTCTGCTGGCTCTGCAGAGGGCAGGTGAGGCCCTGCTCTGAGGAGGGCTGAAGTGGGGAGCACCAGGGAGAAGGGAGTGGGGAGGAGCAGGGAGGCTCTCATTCTGGGCTGGGGCTGATTACTTCTAACCCAGCAGCAATCAAGCGTGCCTCACCACTGTCAGAATTAATTCCCTTCTCAAGCTCCCCTTCAGGTAGGTGAGAAATGCCTGTGCCTCCTATTAACATGAGCGTGACCCCGTTCCTTGTGAGATGAAGACCCCGGTCTGATTATGCGTGGGGAGGATCCCCACCTGCCTGCCCTGGGCGGCGTGACAACAGCTCACTTGCCTTAACTGGCAAATGAACGGTCCCACGTCTGTCCTTTCTCTGTAATGCAAAGATAAGCCCACATTTGTCCTGGCGGGGGACAGGGTCAGGGAGAAGTTCTAGTCAAGTACGTGCCCAGCAGTGTTGGCAGTGAAGGGGGAGGCTGTGCATAGGAACAGCCGGGAGAGTGCTGGGCGGCCTGGGGCCAGCCTGCTGCTTGCTCGCCTTTGGGACAGAGTCCCTTCCCTCTGTGCGAGGAGACGGCTGCCCCAATCCATCTAGAAGGGCTTTTGAGTCTGATGCTTGCTGATTCCAGGCTGTCACTGAGCATGAGCTTAGAACCTCATAAAAACTGGACTCCACCCAGATGTCCGTCGACAGATAACTGGATCAAGAAGATGTGGTATATATATGTCTACCACACGTATGTGCATGTACACACACACACGTAGTGTGTATACATGGGCACACACGATGGGATATTACTCAGCTGTGAAAAAGAATGAAACCTTGCCACTTGCAATGACATGGATGGAACTAGAGGGTCTAATGCTGAGTGAAATAAGTCGTTCAGAGAAAGACAAATACCATATGATTTCACTCATGTGGGATTTAAGAAACAAAGCAGATGAACATTGGGGAAGGGAAGGAAAAATGAAAAAGATGAAAATTGAGAGGGAGACAAACCATGAGAGACTCTTAACTCTGGGAAACAAATTGAGGGTGGCTGGAGGGGAAGGGGGTAGGAGGAGAGGGTAACTGGGGGATGGGCGTTAGGGAGGGCACGTGATGTGATGAGCACTGGTTGTTGTATAAGACTGATGGATCCCTGACCTCTACCTCTGAAACTAATAACATTTTTAAAAATAAAAGAAACCTGGGATCCAACAGTTTCAATGTTAGAGGGAGGGTCTAGAAAGTTCTCTAGAAAACTGAGTGAAGGAGCCAGATCAGCAGGTGGATAAAGACCCTCCCTCACGATACGATGCTGCTCCAGACCCCAGAAGAGCTTCTCCTCCTGGCAGTTCAGTGCCCAGCCTGGTTTGTGTGCAGTGGGAGGGAGGCCGAGGAGGGGACGGTGTGTATGTTCCTTCGTTCAGATGCTCTTGTGCGCATCACGTATTTATTGGTGCCTCCTGTCATCAGGCCACATGGGAGAGTGGAATGACGTCTGTGTTATATGGGGCTTCGCCTCCTGCTCACGCAGGACCTGGACAGACAGCTCCTGGCCCCTTGGATGTGGCTGTGTCCTCTGCCTGCCTTTGTCACTTGTGGGAGGATGAACCAAGGTGGCATTCCTGCCTTGGAGTGGCTGTCACCGCAGGCCATCCCCTTCTCCATCCTCTGCATGCATGGCAACGGGCCTGGCATCCTGGAAGATGCTGAGGCCGTTCGGAAGCTCCACTGTCCGTAAGTCCTGCAGCTCTGCAGTGGGGCAGCCAGATGCCTGGCCAGAAATACCACTGATACAGCGTAGGGACCAGAGCCCCACAGTCTGGGGACACAGGACTGACTGAGGTGTGTGATCAGAAGCCGTTTCATGGGATGGCACAGGGTTGAGTCTGGAGTGGGTCATCATTTGGAGGAGAGGGGAGAAAGGTCATGGGGTGGGGGGCAGGAAGCAGTTGGAGTTACGGTAGGGAGCCACAGAATGTGAGGGGGATGAGGGGGAGAGGGAAGCCTGGGTGCTGGGGTGTGGGAAGGCGAGCACGCTGTGCAAGGTGGTGCTTCTGTACAGGCCCTGGGGGAGGGGCACCCGGACCACCCAGTGTGGAGAGTGCACCCAGTGTGGCAGGACGGCAGTCTTGGGGAGTGTTTCCTCCCCATCCCTTTTCAAAGATTTTATCTATTTATTCATGAGAGAGACAGAGAGGCAGAGACACAGGCAAAGTTCTGGAGAGGCAGGCTCCTTGCAAGGGAGCTGATGTGGGACTCGATCCCGGGACCCTGGGATCACGCCCTGAGCTAGAGGCAGGTGCTCAGCCATGGAGCCACACGGGCGCCCATTTCCTTCTGCTTTATTCTCTAGTACTAGACACTGGACTCAACTAGTTCCAGTTTCTGTCCTCTGTTCTCTTCCTTAGCTCAGAAGTCGATGGAACACTGCCATTCACTTGGTCTTGGAATAATTTGCCCTTTCTTCTTGCAAAAGAGTAACCACCCCACCCCAGCCCTCCTGCTGCCTCCTCTTCGGCCTGCAGTTCTCCACAGCACTCTGTCTGTCCCACAAGCCCCACGCGGACTAGTTTGGCTGCAGCTCCTGATGCTAGAGTCTTGGCTCTGTGAGGGCAGGGACCTGGGCTGATTGGCTTGCTACTCTACCCCCAGCCCTCAAGGGGGCTGCTCTAACCAGGAGGCTTTGGGTGTGTGGTTGAGGGAATCCTTGAGTGGACAGCAATTGGGTTGATGGTTCTTTGATCACCTGTCATAGGGCACGTTTGTGCGGCAAGATCCTGAGTAATTCCCCCAAACCGTTGCAGTGCTCACTGGTGAGTGGTAGACATTATAGGACGCTGCTCCGGGCTCCCAAGGAGATGATAGAACAATCCTGAAGTCATGCAAAGGGCTACCGGCGGGTGATGCCTCCCACCTCTCTAGGTAGTCATGGCTCATCTGGGGTACCAATGGTCACTGTGACAGCGGGGGTGAGCTGGATGGCGGTGGGAACACCACAAAGACAGAATGGGGTTTTGACTTACTGACAGCCTTGATTTGAATGAGGTCCTGCAAAACGGCATCGAGAAGGGACATATCC